CCCCACCATGATGCGCTGGGCAGCCAGCTGTGGCCCCCTCCCCCATGGCAGGGCAGAGTGGCACTGGCCCCAGGGCTCTGCATCCCCACTGTCAGGACTAGGTATGTGTGAGGGGCTAGCTGGCCATGACCTAGCCCAGGGGTTTTGAATGGGCAAAAGATGATTGGAGGACTTGGGATTCCCTTTCCTCACCAATCAGGCCCCAGAGACTCGCTCTTCATGTCCCGTGATTGGTTCCTTGGGTCACCTGGGGGGGGATAAAAGGGGCAACGTGGCTGACTCAGGAGAGACCACAATGAAGGAGATTCAAAGAGCTGGCAAGAGCTGAGCCAGCGGGGCAGGAGCAGTTGCCCCAGAAGAGCCTGAAGGAGTGGGACCTGCAGGCAGCACTAGGGTCCTCAGCAGTGTGGCATGCAGCCGGCAGGAGAGGCTCCCCACTGGGCTCCAGGATTGCCTATGGGAGGCTGTGGCCAGCAGGAGAGGCTCCCCTGCTCCAGCAAGGATCTGAGCAGCGACCTGAGAGGGTCCCGGCTCTGCTTCCAACTCCTCCAATCAGAGGCCAGGCAGCTTGAGTGAGGCCGGGGCTCCGGGAAGGGCAAGACCCCTGGCAGTTCAGAGCAGTACCAGCACTGGTGGCTGTGTGGTAGAGTTTCTGCCTACCACGTAGGAGAATTGAGTTCAAGTCTCAGCTTTGGTGACTTGGGGTGAATGAGCTAACAGGGAGAAATTCCTCTTGCAGTGGAAAGGGGCCATTGTGTTGTCCCCCTTTCTCCCCCTCCAGGTACCTAGGCCCTATATTCCTTGTAATTTGACATTTTGTATTTTGTGCCTTTTGTATTTCCAGTAATACCAACCAGTATTGTTTGTTCTGCTGTTTGTGTTTTACGTTTTGGTGTTAGCCCTGGTCTTTTGTCAACTGGATGAATACATCTATGATTGTAAGTGTCTAACCTTTGTTGAATCCTGCCCATCAGGGCATTGTAGTGTCCCCTATACCCCCTGGTTTATACTGGTTATGTTCCCAGTATTGTTCCCTCATTAAAAATTATATGGTTAAGTCCCCATTAGTGGTTTAGCTCTGCTCTATAGGGGGAGGAGAGTCCCTACAGCTCCCACAGTGCTTGTGCACCTGCTTTGATCCCTTCAGTTGGAGAGGGGGTACCTCTTGGAGTACCGCCCAGGTTACATATGTTATCAGCAGGGATCCTGGGTTTCCATTTCCCACAGAAAACCATGGATTTCCCATTTTTATCAGAGAAAACACTGATTTCCCCTTTTAGAAGAGAAACCCACAGATTTCCCCCTTTTGCAAAGAGCTCTGCAGGCTGGCAGAGTTCCAGCTTACAAGAGCTGTTTGCAGAAGGGGCAGGGAAACCCTTAACCCTGCCAGGAGAGGAAGTGATGGGTGAAGGGCAGTGAAGTATGGATGTTCACCAATATTTGTCACTATTCTTTGCCTGCTCCATAGTGGTATGCAGGCTGGTTGTCAGTAACTGATCTATCACAGATTGCTTTGAGGATAAGACAGGAGTTAAGCAAGGCTGTGCCATCACTCCAGCACTGCTCTTAATATTCCTTGCCACAATGCTACATCAGATGGATAATCTCGGCCAACTCCAAGGCAAAACCAAGCCCATCCCGATCTCAGTCACGAAGCTTCAGTATGCTGACAATGTTGTGGTCTGTGCTCACTTGGAAGCAGACCTTCAGGCAATCATCAACACCTTTACCAAGGTATACAAGAAAATGGGACTGAAGCTTAACATTCAGAAGGCAATAAAGTCCTCCATCAACAAGCTCTTAATAAGCAATCCCCAGCTCTGGTCATTCAGATTTATGATGAGACTTTGGAGAACATTATTTCCTGTACCTTGGAAGTCATCTCTCACAGAAGGCTGAAACCATCAAAGAAATCCAATGTCGCCTCAAATGTGCAAGTGCAGTCTTTGGACACCTGAGGAAACAAGTGGTCACAGGTCGCAACATCAGATTCCAAACAAGGCCATGGTTTAGCAAGCAGCTGTGATCCCCACCTTACTGTATGGAGTTGAGATGTGGAAAATGTACAGGAGACGCCTCAAGTTGCTGGAGAAGTAGTATCAATGTTGCCTGTGTAAGATCCTTCAAATCCAGTGGGAAGATAGACTTGCCAACCCTAGTGTGCAAACAGATGCCACAAGCATTGAGGCGGTGATCATCCAACATCAACTTTGCAGCTCCTGAAGCAAATTTTATTCTCCCAGCTCAGCCAAGGCATATGCTCAAGAGGAAGGCAAAGGCAATGGCTCAAGGACATTCATTCTCAAGGCCAGCTTGAAAAAAAAAACCATGTCAACATCAGCTCATGGGAGACTATTGTCCAGGGCTGCCCCAAATGGAAAAAGAGTCTGCAAGGATCTCAGTATTTTGAAACCTTATGATGATAACAGGAGACAGAAAAGCAGGAGCAGTAGAAACAGCATGCCATGGACCAAATCAAGAATCTGGAGCCACCCATCCCACACAAACACATGCCTGAGTTGGAATACAGTCTCCTGATCCCAGATCGGGATCATCAGCCATCTTCAGGCCCCTAGATAAAACAATCATCCTCAACTGTGAGGGACTGCCGGAGAAGAAAGTTCTTCCTCTTTACCTGTAGGAACTTTTGCTACCAATACTGGCATAGTTTGTACAGACCTTAGCATAGTGAAGCATATGCTCTTGGATGTGCTGTAAAACACTTATAAGCAGTGCACAGACCAGTGATTCTCAATCCTTGTAGACTCAAAGCACCCCTCCAGAACTTTTCAGAATTTAGTGGCACCATGCTTCAAGACTAATCTATTTTGTACATTGCTTGCCTTCTCGCACTGTTTGGTGTCCTTAAAAGATTCTTATGGGATGGCAGGGTGGGCAGCAGCAGTCAGGGCAAGCATGGCTGGGGGTGGTACACAAGAGCTTGGTGCTGTCAGGGGCTGCTTGGTGGAGTAGATTAGGCAGTTGGGTGGTGGGTCATTAGCCTCCCTGCAGGAGGCCAAAGGGAGTGACAAGCTCAGAGGCTGGTCTTAATTGAGCATGATGGTGGCAGGACATAGCTGTGCCTCACTCTTTCCACTGTCGGTCAGTTCCCAAGCCTTGCCAATGCAGCTGTCCTTCCAGGGACTTTGAATGCCAGTTACCAGAGCCACCCTTCCCTGTACCGCTTCTACCAGTTTTGGGAGCATAGGAGAATGAACTGAGGGGCGGAATGAGCTGAGTTGAAAAGACATGGCATCTCATCTTCCCACCTGCCCACAGCAATGTGCTGCTCTGAGTATGGGTCAGTTGGCATGGGGGCTGTGCTTTTCATATCTGTTAGTCCCCCTGTTCCTCTCAGGCTCCTGGAGCTGGGGGTGGGGGGGGCATGGGGAACGGTGCCAGGATGTCAGGGCAGGGACAGGGTGCCCAGCATGTGAAGGAGTGAGCCCTTACCTCCCCTCACAGGGGCTGGCCACTGTAGCACTCTTTAGAGTACCTAGTGAGAACCTGGTTGAGAATCACTGGCATAGACGATGAATAATGGGTCTGACATGGCTCTTTGCTTGGGGGAACATGGACTTGCATTCAAGACTGACACCATATAACGACGGCGACTTCACGGCCTTCCAGATCTACAGCATTTTTGTCTTAAACCACTGGGATTTGATAGTTGCTAGTATCTTTCAACTATGTAACTCTAACACTGAACTCCAGATACTTTAATTTTAAGGGAACAATGGATTGAAATTGTCTTGTTAGTATTTTGTACCCTGGAAAATGCAAGTGGGTAATAGCAGAAGCGTTAACTTTTTATTTAAAAATAAAATAACAGACATGAGAAGGACAGCTAGGGAAACTGCTTTGGACCTTCTTGGGTTCCACTGTCATCTAAATTCTTTCCTGTTTTTAGGAACTGACATTGCTGCTGGAGAGGAGGTTGCCATCAAACTGGAATGTGTAAAAACAAAGCATCCTCAGCTCCACATAGAGAGTAAAATCTACAAGATGATGCAGGGAGGAGGTAAGCACTTATGTCTAATAAGGGAGTATTTTGTGGCTTTAATTATGGGTACAAGAAGTACTAATGTTCAAGTTTCCTTTTAGAGAAAGGGGACCAGCGCTTCAGATTTTGATTTGGCATAGGGGATTTGCACCCTTCTGATACCACTGGGTAAACCAGACAGCACCATGTTCAGAAAAATACGTAAAATAGAACAATATATTTCTCTCTGTCTTGTATTACAGTTTAAAGCAGGTGGATGTTGGATTTCAGTGTTTCATGCCATTTGGTCAAGTGTTCTGAATACTTATAAAACTAGGATTTTCAAGTTGAAAGGCAGCTTCCACACAGTACAGAACATGTATGCAAATAGGAAAAAATCTGTGAGGATGTCATCTGCTGGGATTTGGACATCAGGTTTTTAAAACTGAATTTGGAAAATTCCCTTACTGTAATAACACTGATATTGAAGGGCATTGGTAGCAAAGTAGCACGTGAGTCGGTCAATTTACTAGCTGCTGCCTGATCTCCTATAATGGTAAAAATATGCTGTTCTTTTGTGTCTTGTGGCACTCTGTTTATGTACCAGCAAGTCTCAATACTTTTATTGGACATAAATTTGTAGTTAATTTAGCTTTGTTAGCTGAATTGTCCCTAGAATTGCTTCCAAGGAAGGTAATGCTTTGCATATGACTACTGTTTATATAACCTATATGTTTATGTGAGAAGCAGCATGTGATCATGTAACTAAAAATCACATGGTAATGCAGTCTTGGAAATAAGTAGTTTATTCATTCATCCTGAATTTTTGGCTTTCCTTAAGTGCTTATCTTTAAACAATGTTGATGATCTTAATATACTTGTAATGGAATAAAATGCTTGCATAAGTGCTGCCACAGGCTTTGATCACTTCTTTTTATAAAACACTGTTTTGAGATCTTCTGGAAGGGAATATATAAGGACAGAATACTGAAGGTAGTGTCCCAGAAAAGGACTTGTTTTCACAAGGAAGGTCAGGAGAAGTAATCTAAATTAATGTAAAGTGTTAATCCAAAGCAAGCGATTTAAGCTCCATCACATCAAAGGAAGGCAATCCCAATGAGGATCAAAGGGAGCAGAAGGGCGCATAAGCCCCCATGGCTCACCAAAAGCATCCGGGAATGTCTCCTTGCTAAAAAGGAGGCTTACACCCAATGGAAAGAAGGGGTCATCACCAAGGAGGGCTATTCTGCAGTTGCTCGGGGATGTAGGGGGGTAGTTAGGAAGGCCAAGGCAGAGATGGAACTGGGACTAGCTTCCCAGATTAAGGACAATAAGAAGTCTTTTTTTAAATACATAGGGG